GCCTCGACAAGGTGTTTGGACCATCGAGCCGTGGCTTTCAGCTGCGATTCGTCCAAGACGGCAGGCTTGAGCTTCTTTGGGAACTGTCCGGACGGAGGCAGCGAGCCTATCAAACGGAACCCCCGAGTCAGGTCCTCAAAGAGATAAGGGTCCTCCACCCCCGCATCGCGAGCCATCTCCTGGAACAACAGAAGGTTCTTTCCGGTCATCACCTCTCGCACCTGTGGGTCCATAGTCGCCTTGAGAGCCTCTTCATCGGACCGAAGCTCAAGCTCTCTCCGCCGGTAATAGTCAAGAGTTTTCTGCCGAAGGATCTTAGTGCCTTCCACACCCCTCTCCAAGACGACCTGCATAGCACGAATATTACCCATGTCCGAAGTTGAAGGTTCATCGACTTAAGGGATGGCGCATCTTATTTCCCAAGGAGCTTTGCAATATAGTATATTCTTCATTCACCAATCCTAATATTCCCCAAAAGTTATATGGGGAAATCAAATATATCAAACATAATAAAATTCTGAACGCCAGCGAGATACGGTCGTCTTTTTCTCGGCACTGCCGACTGGGGAAATCGTGATATCCCCGCACCAGTCCGATGGCGAACACCAGGATCGCCAACGAACACCCCAATCAAGAAAGCTGGAGATCCTGGGCGGCAGAGCCTTCAATCGGACAACGGGGTCTGACACGAATCACGCGGCCTTTGTAAGGAAATGAGATCTTCCGGTGATCTGCTGGGTTACTCCAACTGGGCACCCGAGCAAACCACGGCAAGGTGGCCTGACTGTCCAAGTTTTCGAAGAGCAGCAGGAGCTGTCTCCACAGCAGGTCCTTTGACGAACCCTTCACTAAGGAGGCCAGCACCCCCGCGTGATCCGCGTATATCGTCACACGACACAGGTCCATATGTGATGACCAGGCTGATCTCGCACAAAGGACTGCGTACATTTCAACTGGGCCTATCAAATGCCTTTTCCCGAGAGCTTCCCAGCCCTGTACAATGCTCAAAGAGATGGCACATGCAAAGTAGAAAGTGCACCAAGCGCCATTATCATAGTGATACAAGATCCCGCCCACGGT